TTTTATAGTAAGTTAATGATATGCATTGATCGAAAAAAAATAAATACAGAATTATAAAATGGTAACAAGGAAATAATGAAACGCATACGTACAATGGATATGTTAGCTACAGTATATTAAAAAATTTAAGCAAAGTGGCAAAAGAAATTTGAACACATGCATATTCATGTACGTGCATATACAAAAAATAATGCTAAGTGCGAAGAAAGGATAATAGGATATTGTGTTTATCAGGTCCAACAGCGAAATTCCTGAAATCATATATACATTGTTCTAATATTCATTCTTGGAAAATGTTAATAAGAAAAATGATAGACCAGTATGTATGTATTAGAGATAGTAAAAAGTAATAGAAGATATATATTAATGATTAGAACAATTCTCTCATATGATTGTGACGTGTTTACCTTGATAAACTGACGTTCTGAGTACCGGAAGGCGGTGTACTGTTGTTAAAATTGAATGATGCGAACGACTTGAATGTTGCAACTTGAGATCTTGTAAGAGAGGATACCCTGGAGTGAGTTCCACAGCTGAACGACATAATTAGAAAGTAACCACATAACTTTATAATGAGAAATAAGGAAGCACTAATAAAAGAAGAAAGACAATATCCTCACAAACATATTAACATTTAAAAATGGAAAGAAGTTAATAAAATGAGACCGCAGCGTTTATAATTCAGAGCGCGACCTCGAATGACAAAATTGGTCATCTTATTACTATGTAATTTTGCTTGTACACTCATTTCTTATTACTTCGAAATCTGCCAAAGATATTTAAAATGTTGTGTCTCGCGATTTATTTTATACAACGCACCTCTTCTTTGTTTTTACACGATGTACATATTTGAACTTCTTTTATATTTACATGCGTATGAGTATTCACAATATAATGTACAAATTATTTCAAAAACACATATATTTATGATCCCGTACCAAAGCCAATGACATTTTAGTGATCACAATAGCACATTAAACAAAACTAGTGTTAGTACAAATAGTTGCGATATTTAACAGCAAATAACGGTTATGAAAATCAAATAAGTATTACTCACTCTGAATTTGTTATGTTTGACTCTGACAAACGATGACTGTCTCCCTTTGACGACTGCGGTCTTCGCATAGTGACAGTTTGAGACAAAGTTTCGAATTGTAAATCGCAAGTCTGCAATAATAACATATTGTTGAGAGAACTATATAAGGAAAGTATGAGTTCTGTCGACATACCCTTTTTCCGTATTTTGCTTCAACTTGACTTCGCATGGATGCAAAACAGTGTTCCAGACGTTGATGGAACGGTGTCAATTCGAAAGGAGCGCGTGTTTTATGCAATTGCAAACCAACGCTCAACAAAGGTATCTGATCAGCAATCGATCCTTCTAGCTTGAGAAGATCTGAGTTTTCTTCTGGATGAGAAGTACGATATTCAGGATTAAGAAAAGCTTTCTCATAGTTATCTATGCCACCCATTACCGCTGGGTCCAGTATGCCATTCAATTTCATACTGAGAGGGTTAAGTGGAAGACTGTGATCCGCTTTGTGCGCTATAATTAAATCTCGCAACATACTGTTTGTAGCTTCCATCGTTTCTATCGCGTTACGAAGGGGGCTAACTAAGTAAGTTTCGCTAGACGTAACAGGGAAGCATCTGAGAATGCCTGGCAAGGGATAACTTGTAACTAATACTGTCCTTTCCAACCATAGTGAAGCGAATTCATTGTTAGCAACAGTCTCCCTTTCTTTGTCACCAGAATTTGCCATAACTAAGAGTATATCCTTCTTCGGCGCTGGCCTCGAAAATCGAAAACGTTGAACATCGTTCACTCTGTGATATCTAAACCGCAATTAACATTATTATGCACTATTCTGCACAAGTTTGAAAATAAGTTCGAATTCCTAGATCAAAACCATATTTTTACCTGAGAACTGCTTCCGCTGTTATAGGTTTCCCGCTGAGTCGATGCCTTTTTTCATCCATTAGAGGATCCACTCTATTAATTTGTACATACTGATGATTAGACTCTAGTATCTCTGGAGTAGGAGGACACAGTCTGTTCATTGGTTCCGCATTTGGTAGCTGATTTAACGTTCGCGAACAAAAATCGCTTAGTCTCTCGTACTCCCTTCCACGGTAAATAAATACCTAAAACAAATATCTATAACTCCCTATAATTCATGTACAATTGTAAATGATTCATTAATATACCTTGTTCTGTAAAAATGCAGGATGCCCGCGACCATAATAAGCGACTCTAAAATATTCTGGTTCCGGTCGTAGTTGTTTTACTATGGCATCATAAAACTTAGCCATCCGTTGCAACAACATAGAGAGCTGTAGGTAATCAAACGTTTCTTCTTCGTATTGCGCGACAAGCTCTTTGCACACGCCGAGTGCGCATTCCCACATCTTACCCTTATCAAAATAATCAATCATGTCGTTATACAATGCTTCTTTCAATTCACGATGCGTTTGACATGACAAGTACCTATTTCGAAAAACCATAATCTATAATAATCGAGAAATTCAAAATGATATAAAATTGTTCATTCCATGTCTATACCTGTGCGATCGTAATAGAGGTGGCAACGACTGATCGCTCCATGCTAATAATTGACTATGTAGTTTCAATGAGTATGCTGCTTCGGTGTAATTATCACACTCTAGGTGCAATTCGCAAAGCTTATTTACATATCTGAAATAAAATGTAAATTTTCTGGTAAAACACTGACACCACTCATTATCAACAAAATATTGATAGCATTCTCACCTGATATACATTTCTTTCCTATTTATATCGGAGTAAAATTCTAATAAGTTCACAATACATAACATTCTATGTTCCTGAGACTCTGAATGGATGATATCACGGTACTGTAGCAATCGCTCCATGAGTTTGGATATTGTATCGACGAAACGTAAACCTTGTTCTCGCATGGTTGAATGATTCTCGCAATGATCACCCATCACTTGTGCCCATAGAGTTCGAAATTGTTCATCTCCTCTTCCCCCCTCAACCTATTAGGATATTATATAAATATATGATGTAGTCAACTAAGGGGGAAAGAAATGATATTTACTACCAGATCAAATCCTACCAATATATCCAATTTCGCAATCATTTCGTTCTCGTATTCTGTAAAATTAGCTTTTATATGAGTAGCATCCCTTTTCGTGTCCCCGTACCCTTCGACAATGCGTGAACTATAATACTCGCACTGCATCATATCAAAGAATATGGGTATGGTTGCCTTTCTTAATTCGCTTTCCGGAATTAACGCCATTTCTAATATCGCTCCTACCAGCGCAGGGACAAACAATATTTTATGTTGTCCCAAATTGAACCACATCGAACGAATTTCGAAAGCTGTCTCTCTGCAATAAAAATATTATATTCTTTTCTATTGCGTTTAAGTAATTGTGATATATAGGTATACCTGCGCATATCGTTGTAACGCAAAACAATGCGATTGAGTTTCGATGATGTGAACGTTTCCAACTGCAAAGCCGGCTGAGTCAAGAACGCGATTGCACAATGGAAAAAATTCGACCAAGCCTGCTGCTCGAAATTAGTAAAGAAACAATCTCTGATCGTACCAGAGAAAAAACGCAGTGACTTCAAAATTATGCTGTTTTGAAGCATTATCATGTCACACCAATCATTCGGGAACACGCTTCTTGAAACTAAATCTTTAAACACCAATAATATTTCCATGAGGAAGTCAAGCAAGTCGAATTTAGTTCCAAAGTGGTTTATATAAATCTCATAATGTTGTTGAGTCATTTGTCTGAAATATTTATATTCATTTATTATATATTTTATAGTTTATTATAATACTTGGTTCTTTACCTGAATATTGCTAACATAACTGAAACTAGATTTCCGACTAATGAATTTTCTCTATCCATGGATATGACGGTTTGTATAATGGTTCGTAAGGCTGTAAGCATGATCTCTTTAACATCCTGCATTGTGCTTCCTATGTCTTTTCTAAATGTTAATTCCAATATGTCAGATAAAATCCTGACACATAGTTCAACCTACATAAACACAAGATAGAAATGTGCCCTTAGTATACTTGCTAGTCACTTCTAAATACTCTTGTGAAAACTTAATCAAAGAATATAAGTTAAAATTTAATATAACGATAATCAGCAATCCTGAAAGTCTAACATAAAATACTCATCCTACGTAGATATCAGTATAGTTCTCATGTCATTAGCAACCACCGTGCCAATAATCCAAAATAAATCTCGCACTTTAACTCGCCACGTATGTCTCAGCAATTACCTCTTCGGAATAGCCGCGGTGCTGTTTGAGTCGATGTCGATTCTCACCAAGCAGCCTGGCTACCTTCGCCACGCTTTTTCCAGTCGTACTTGACAGCCCCTTTTTAGGCCAATAACCAAAACCAAACCAAACACAAAAAAATGAAACAACCCTATGTTAGTCAGAATATAATGCCAGCTTATACGAGAGAAAAATATTACAATTATAACTTCAATATCTGACCACCACCTAAGAGAAGTCGTACCGCATGCAAATGAAACACAATGTCCCCAAAAACAATAGGATAGTCGGATAGTCGAACTACGCTAAATGTAAGAAACAATATAGAGGGTATCTATGCAATGTCCTTTGCTGAGCTGGTTCTGATCATTACTTCAATGATGCTTCTTTTTTTTTTTTTAATTTGTGTAGAACAGAATAAAAAGACAAGATATATAAAATCTAGATATTTTGTGAACGTTTTCAAATAAGCAACAATTCCATGTCATTGTTTTATGAGCTCATGCTGTACCAAGAACAGAAATGAATGCTTCATTCCTCATGCTCTTAGACAAATTTGCGTAGAGAATGCTTTCGAAGAATGATATAAGATTCACAGAAAGATGCGTGGCGAGAGGATGTCAGGCTGCACGGAAAGCACGAATAGTGGTACTATTAAGTATCACAAGTTGTACAGGAAAGTTTTAAATGCAAATGAAAAGCTCCGCTCACATTTTCATTATGACAATCGACAAGCGACATGAAGAAATCGCAATTGTCTCGAACACAAGTCACGCATACCTGGGTCTAAGCGTTGTTACATCACACTGGTATTAACATGAACGAAGCTTCAACAAGAATATATCAAGTTACTCATGAAAGTATTCTGCATTCGAAAAAATTCTCAATATATATTAACATGGATTCAAAATATGAATGCACTTTAATGAATAACATGAATATTTCATTTCTTCCATAATGTACAATTTAATAGCTTCGCAGTATATCTTACCTCTTCTTTAGCTTCCAATAAATCTCGAACCAAAATAGTAATCCTAGGCAATAAAATTGCTCTACATTCTGCCTTTAAAAAGAGGGGACTGTGAACGATGTCGTTTACTGTCATCATTTTCTGTTTAGTTAATCTGCCTGTTGGCAGAGTAACTAGTAAATCAGTTAATATTGTGCTTAACTGTTTGCCACTATATACTCGCAATAAATGAGGTATAGTTGTCGGTAAATATTTAAGACACGCTCCTTGTACCAATAAGGTACTGTCCGTTTCATGTCTCATAAGTTCAACTATCGATTTCAATAGTTCCGTTAAGGTCTGAGAAAATTCTTCTTCGTCTTGGTTCAACCTATTACAATAGTATCGTTTTGGTGAAAACAACTATTAAATGTTTTTACGGCATTGACGTAGAAAAGAACATACTCGGTAAATAGAAGACGAGATTCAACCACAAATCGCATACAGTATTGAAGGCTTTTCATTGTTTTAAGAAGTATATCACGCTCTTGTCCGTCATTGTTACAGGCATTATCTATACGTTTACGTAATACTGCAATTAATTTCTTGTAAGCGAGTGTCGCTGAAAAGCTCTCAGAAATGTATAAATCTAATACTGGTTGAAAGTGTTGATACTTTCTATCAGACACTAAACCAATAATGAACAACAAACATTCGAACACCATATCGTCGTAGACATCACTATCCGAATTACTCATTAGTATATTAAATAAAGCATCCAGAACATCCTGTAAAACGACTGCTGTAGCTTACACACATTAATACATTTTTTTTTTATCTAATCCAATTTATCTACCTGTAAAAACTTAACTACTTCTTCACCATCGACTTTCATCAAAGCAGCTAAAGATTCTCTTAAATCCGTGTTATGCGATGCCCAATTCAATAAGCCTAACAAATCTATATTTTGTGTCAGTTTTGTTGAACAAATATTGGTGGCTATGAGAAAACTATCCTTAGTACTCAAAGTAAGTGCTCCTAAGGTTGGTTTCTTTTCAACGTTTAGTTCCACCTAAAAAAAACTCAAATTGTATGCGATGTTTAAATGTGTTTTTATTGTGGTTTAAATGTTGATTCAAAAACTTTCTTACCAATTCACCCCTAGTCGATGGAAGTTTCAAATACGAGATATCAATTTCCTCATATTTTTTTTGGTCTAGTTTATAAACTAGCAATTCGTGCTGTATATCTCGCAATGTGGTCCCGTTACGTTGCATCAATTTCACGTAACTTAAGGCGAAAGGTTTTTCTGATTTATCTTTTGCTTCATTCGAACTACGATGTTTGAACGTGAATTTTAAGTGGGCTTGTTTGAATTCTTCAATGGGTATAGCAATTTTGAAAGTTTCACACCATCTTGGCTTGTCTTCATGATAATAAATGACACTACGATATTCGTCAATTGGTGATGCTCCACCACCCAGGGTCATAACACCTGGTATTGGAGTACCAAATTCATTGCATACTTTAACCTATGGAAATATAAAATGATAATAGATGGACAAAGTCATAAGTTTTGCAAAATAATACCAACCGTAACTTCCACATTCTTATCGGTAGACTTTGATCCTTTATTGAATTCACCACTAATCAAAGTTAGATACAGGTCATTTCTCACATCACCCGGTAAAATAACTTCCGGAAAGCCCATCTTCCTTGCGATAGCAACGTTACCGAGTACTAAGTGAGGATTTTCATCTCGAACCTAAGTCACATTAATATTTTATAAGTATTTTTAAAAAGCATATAGTAGATCTATAGTTTTTAGAACTTAAAATCGTACTTACCTGTTTTGGATCTCCTCTGAGTAACTTCATACTAGCCCACAGCCCCTGACCACCAGTAAAGCTGCCACTATTGCAGTTACCACTTTTTTGAATGCTTGCTTCCTTTTGGGAAAGAATTCTTCGTAATGTGCCATCTAAACTTTCTTTCTCACAACATCTGAAAAAAATAAGCAGCACCAACAAAATAGATCTATCCAAGTCGTGTTCATAAGTAGGTTCTTATGAATACATTCACAATATAAATCAACACTTTATAAGAAATGTAGTTTATGAATGAAATTGCTATGTTCTTTTAGATAACTATTAAGTCATCACTGTTAGATTATGTCAAAATAGAATTTTATGCTTACTGTATAAATGGAATGAAATGATGGTGATCTGAATCACCTTCAAGTTTGCCAGTAACGTACAAAGTGATATCCATGGCTGCTACACCAAAAGGTCTCCTCATATTTTCAGCGCTTTTAGTTTTTTGATGAGCCTGTGCAACACTTGAGCGTCTGTGATCAATATCTTTAGCTTCCATACCACCTACCCTAATTACATAACAAGCTAAATAAACCTTATCCCTGGCCAGGTCACGAGAACCAAGGTCAGTAAATAGAACTCGAAGATTATGAAGTTGATCTATGTCCCTGGCTAATCCTTCCTTGCTCCATGAAACTACATAGTTTTCAGTAATTGCTTTCATTTCACGACCATCATACAGTGTCAATAATAATTCAACATCTTCAGTCATTTTACATACAAAATTCCTTACACTAACAAAGAAGATATGTGAATAAACAGGTGCTTGTGGCTTTGAAGGCTTCTTTTTCATATCATTAGCTGCCTTTCTTATTCTTTCAGCAGCTGTTTCATGATGATAATACAACTGAATTGTACTTGTTTGTTCAGGATTAAGGACATTTCCTTGATCATCCCGAACAACCATATCCAGACCCAATAACTGATTACCAGTGTCAATCCTAGCTGTTGCTAGTCTTTTCATGTCTTTCAACTCATCCACTGTCAATGTGCCACTTAAAATTTTGCTTCTGTACTCTATTAATTCTAAAAGTTGCTGTTTCATGTTTAAGAAGTGTTCTGAATGAATCTATAAAGATATACAGAAAATGTCACATAAAATCTTTTTTATTAATTACTATAAATGTTTTCAACTATAGTAAATATCTTTTATTGCACATACCACATATAAATGCTTCCAATGATGCCCCCATTCTCTCAAAACATTAGTAATTTCATGTATCAGACAATCCTTACTTTTTGATTCTTCTATAATATGTATGTAGGATTTTGGGAAGATTCCTGATGTTCCATTAATTTTGCTTCGTCCATAATACCAGTCTCCACACTCTGCTGATATATGTACCACTTCCCCAACTGTTAATTGTATGGTATGGGGGGACTCGCGCGCGTATGCAAAGTTATCAATGGCTGTGCAATAATAAATAATTAGGTACACTTAAGTATCATATTTAGTATGTCACCTTTTAATATTTAAACTACTTGAATGACAAGAATAATATCAATAATACAAATAAGCAATAGAGAATAAAGTTTTATTATCAATTATTGCTAATAAATAAAACAATATAGGCTACTAACTATTTTAACATATATAAACAAAAATAAATATAACTTTCAGTTGATAAGAATAAAAAGGTTACCAAAAGAATAAAAGAGAGACTAACAAAAACAGTGACATGTCATGTAATTATTATGCAAACGATAATGTTAATGACGTTATAAATCGTTTCGACGATACCCACGAAACAATTAAACATTTCTCAATGATGGAAATAAACTGACTATATCTCAGTTTAAATAAAAGAACAATGAAACTTAAATGGGAAAATTCTTGCGAGTTATTGAGTGGCGCGTTAAACAAGAGCTAAAATTTTATCAGGCTGGGGCACCTCCCAGGATGTTAGAGCTTACAAAGGCCAAATTAATAATATTCTACGAATTATTACTTACCCACTCCTAGATGTCCTTTAACCTTCGCCCATGCCATTGTCATCCTCATTGAAAATTAGCTATAACAATATATGTACACTAATTACATTTCGATGGACACGGTTGTCGTGCGAGTAAAATACGATACTTTTTATCTTGACATCTAATACAACTATACGCAGCGAAACACGATGCTACTGCCTCAATATTGTCACAGTGATGGAAACCAATGGAAACACGAATAAAGTTAAATACACCATGAACTACATCTCATTTTATAGATTGTATTTTAACGTTGCGCACATTCTTCTTCGTGAAAAACCGGGAAAAATGAATGATGTATATGTATGTACATAAACATGCATATGTATGTATGTACACATCTTCTACGTTTCTAAACTAATTTAATTAGCCGAGATGAATAAAATATATGAAATGTATTTCTACGATGACCAAAAATATTTCCAATTTTTCATAAAAACATAAAATGTATTCATATATAGATACAGATATGTAACAATATAGTAAATATTTATTTCCGTAATAGGAAATTTTTGTTTGTACATTTCTTATACTTGTTTCTATACAGAATGTCACCGTTTTTTCATCGCATTCTTTCCTTTCTTCATAATTCATACATTACTTACATATATAGTATAGTATAGGTTAACACATAGTGTACACGCATCATTCGCATTTCGCGTCGAAATAAACGAATCTGATTTTGGTTGAATACCAAGTAATAGGCGGTTTAGTTTTTCATTGAAAATTAATTTGTTTCGAGTATTATTTCAATCAGTGTTCGAGTATTATTTCATACATTGTTCGAGTATTATTTCATACATTGTTCGAGTATTATTTCATACATTGTT